GAATGGTCATATTATAGAGCAGAGTTAAAGAAACTGGTAAACTTTCACATTCCTAGATGGATACATAAAAGCGAAAAAGATATTACAATGGAGTTACATGGCTTTAGCGATGCGTCAAATATAGCTTATGCGGCTGTGGTGTATTGTCGCATTGTCGATGCTAATGGGCAAATACACTCGCACCTCATAACCGCAAAGACAAAGGTAGCTCCCATCAAGCAAATATCCATTCCACGGCTGGAGTTGTGCGGTTCTGTTTTAGTAGCAAAATTATTGATTGATGTAGCTCAAGTAATGAACATTCCTAAGGCAAATATACATGCTTGGACGGATTCATCAGTTGTTTTGGCCTGGTTAAATGATCATCCAAGTCGATGGAAAACTTACGTGGCTAATCGTACTTCTGAGATTCTTGGTTTGCTAGACAATTCACAGTGGGCTTATGTTAAATCTAAAGAAAATCCAGCAGATATAGCTTCCCGGGGAGTGTCTTCAGCATTTCTCCTTGGTGATGATCTTTGGAAACATGGACCTGGTTGGTTAAGGAATGCTCAGATAGACTTCACCCGGCCTAGTGCCATTCATACTAATGAGGAGTTAAAGCAAGTTAATGTTCACACTGCCAGCGTAGTGCCTGATTTTGAAGTCATTTGGGGATCTAAGTATTCATCACTTTCACGTTTGGTGAGAGTTGTTGCGTATTGTAAAAGATTTTTGCAATCATTAAAACTTCGTAAAGCGAATATTAAGGTTGCAAAATACCTGTCAGCTTCCGAAATTCACAAAGCGTTGAATGTATGTATCAAACAAAGCCAACAGCAATGGTTTCAGGCTGAATTGACAGCCCTGAAAAATAAGAGTCCATTGGAAAGGTCGAGTTCTTTATATAAGTTGAATGTATTTATCGACCAATGTGGGATATTGCGAGTTGGAGGAAGGCTACGGTATTCACCATTACTTGATGATACAAAGCACCCAGTTGTTATTCCTCATGATTCAAGTTTGGCTAAGTTAATTGTAGCCGACGCTCATGAAAGGACCTTTCATGGAGGACAGCAACTGGTACTTAATTTTATACGCATCAAGTACTGGATCAGTCGGGTTAAAAATATTGTACGAGCTTATATACGTCGTTGTGTTCGCTGTATTCGATACTCGGCGACCACGAATCAACAGCTTATGGGAGAACTTCCGGTTTGCAGAGTGACTCCCAGTAAGCCGTTTCTGAACTCCGGTGTCGATTATGCAGGCCCTATTCACATTAGAGTCTCCAAAGGTCGTGGACAGCGGTCGTATAAGGGGTACATCTGTTTGTTCGTATGTATGGCTACGCGCGCAGTACACATAGAGGTTGTTTCAGATTTGACGACTGAGGGTTTCCTGGCAGCGTTCAAACGGTTCGTTTCTAGGCGCGGTCACTGTCGTCATATCTGGAGCGACAATGGTACAAATTTTGTGGGTGCTGCTAAAGAGTTGCAGATGCTTTTCAACCAACAGAGTTCGATGTACAAAGACATTGCAGCTGCTCTTGCAAACTCTCAAACAGAATGGCATTTTATCCCTCCTCACGCTCCTAATTTTGGTGGGTTGTGGGAAGCAGGGGTGAAAAGTGTAAAACACCACTTGAAGCGTGTGATAGGTGACTCCACTTTGACGTTCGAAGAACTGTCCACAGTACTTTCCCAAATCGAGGCATGCCTAAACTCTAGGCCCCTGTCTCAGGGTAGTAGTGATCCAGAGGATCCTGTACCTCTGACTCCGGGTCATTTCTTGGTGGGTCATCCATTGGTAATGGTTCCTGACTACAACTATGAAAGTGTCACAGTTAGCACTTTACGCAGATGGCAATTAGTACAGCGTATGGTGCAGCACTTTTGGCGTAGATGGAAACAGGAGTATTTAACAAACTTTTTTCAAAGGCATAAGTGGAATGTTCGTAAACCTGACTGTAAAATAGGTGATGTAGTTTTAATAAAAGAAGATATCTTACCTCCAGCTAAATGGTTGTATGGCAGAATTGTTGAGCTGCATCCGGGTAGAGATAACTTGACGCGAGTTGTCACTGTTCGTTGTAAGGGCTCTATGATTAAACGTCCAATTTCAAAATTGTGTTTTCTTCCTGTTACTGAATAAGGCACAAAATCTTGTAGATTTAATTGTTTAAGTTGCGTATGTTTTTAGATAAGGTTTTATTATGTTATTTTCTTATACTGCACTGTTGAAATAACAATGTCTCTTACTCTTGTGCACTGTCATGTATTGATTACAATGTTTAGTTAGTAGTTTAGTTATATTGTTTTTGTCAGAATTTTGTCAACCTGATATTTTTGCCGGTATCAAGAATTTCGTCACCCAGATTAATGTTTTTGTACTTATATCTATTCATTTTGATTGGAACCATATCTGTCCGCGCCAATGTCTGCTAAAAGAAGCCGTCCACTAGATCTATCTCGATGTATTATTCGTAATATAGTAATATAATTGTCATACAGTCCACTGTTCTCCTAGTTGTTAAGTTTATGCATGGTGGGCGGTACGAAAAGGAATATATTCCTTTTGGTGGGCGGAATGTTCAGTGTAGAAATAATCTGTTTAAAAGATGCACTCGGCCAAATTTTGAACGCTCGTACATTTTCATCAGGGCACACGACAGGAGATAGCTATTAAGGGTCGCCGTTACCGAAATCGGTAAGAAGGACTATACATATATAAGAGTATATAAGAACTACTGCCTGCTTTCTAAATACTTCTTGAGGATCAATTTCATTCATTCATCTGGTCATACAAGCGCATGGGTCTACATTTTAATTGTTAAGTTAAAAATAGTGACAGTCAAATCTCTAAAAGTGTCATACACCAGTAGGAGTTACGCACAAATTAGTGTCTGACATCAATATGAAACGCGTCCAACATAACACACCCTCTATTTCATTTAATATTATGAACGTGATATAAAATGCGTTCAATTTAATAATCTTACCATGGCATACGGTTAGCAATCCAGTAGAGTGCGATTACTTATATGATTTCACATTTGATCAAGAAAACGATTACACATTACACAAGGTCCCAGCACCGTCGCACCTTTAAATCAAACCGTATAATTTACTGACAGTAAATCTTGCCCTGCGCACACGCCGTCGAAGGAAAAACAATTAGAGCCACGTGCCAACCCTGACTCGTAATTACTGCCGCACCTCACCTGTGCACGCGATTGTGGTAGCCCTAGCTCGGTGCTGACTGAATATTGACTGATCTTTTTTTGGTATAATTTATACCTTAGTTTAGTTTATACGGCATATACGGTGATTGTGTACTATTAGACCGCCTGTGAACTTCGTGGTTACCGTGAGTAGTAGATCAAAAGTTTATTTTAGACATCACTTGTTTTTCTTGACAATTTTCTAACTGCTGAATTTAATTATGTATTATTTCTACGTTTTCCTTAATTTCTAGTTAAGAGCAAATTGCCGATAAGACTTCGATGAATTTGACATTGAAAATTATCTACCCTACGCAAAGAGATACATGACTATAAATGTCGAAAGCGTATGTTACCCACGCGACCACCTCCTATAGCCATCGTAAGGCTGGGAGCACAATATTTTGCCGATCGAGGCATTAATTGTGAGTCATAAAATCGATGAGCCATACATCCAACAATGGATCAAGCGAGGCGAGATGCGCCGCTACAAACGTTGTGACGTAAGAGTCGATCCTCGTATAAATCACATGAAGCCACGCTCGTGTGCACCCACCCTTAGTATAGAGTCCGTATAACAAATGTGCTTTTAGGGTGTAATCAGAAATATATCTAGATGTTTCGCTAATTATATCTGATAGACAAGATTACTTGATCGTATAATCTGTAGTTTTGCAAAAATTATTGACTTTTTAAAATCAATGAGGAGTTTGAAATGTTTCAGTAGAGTTTGGTGTATATACTATATTTTGAATTACTTAATAATTGATTGAAATCATTATCAAATATTACAAAATTTCTAATAGTTGATTCCATATGAATTTATTAGTAATACGAGTCTCAGTGATCCCACAAAATGGTTAAGGGTCGCAAGTCTCCCCTAAGGCGCCTTTCAAAAATAACCGTATCTAAATCATTTGTGCTTCCCTTACAAGGGCGGTTCCACACGGGTGCACTCGTCGGCAGTCGTGCGCGGATGTAACACACCACCCAATATAGTCGCTCCAACCCTGCCCATTAGCTCCAACTATCCACCGGTGTGGGACGCACCGATTTTATTGTGTGCGTCTTTTTGATTTTTGACATTTCTATGAACTAGTGAGGAACGCCATACGTGATTTGGTTTGGAAATTAATCTTGTGAATTTTAGTTCCATAAGCATTTTACTTTTAATGTATTTGTCAAATTATTATTATAAAAAAATAATATATAAGTTGACATACTGATAGAGCTATTAGGACTTAGCGAGGCGGACGAGCTCCCTATAATGATTCCAAAGGTGTTTAATGAATGCAGATATCATAACGGCGCCGACGGCACGCAGCAGGCATGTGACGCGACGGGATAAGGATTATTCAGCCACTTTGCGAACGGCGACCAGCCACCGACGCCGTCGGCTAGGCAGTAGCGTCATGTACCTTTTCGGTGTTACGACAAATACAAATTAACTAAAACGAATAGAAAGGAGTCGGTGTGGATATAACACCTACATTGCATATGTACTGTCTGCAAAAGTACCGGAATCTAAGTTTGATGAAGTCCGTTGAACCAAGTCATTTATGCTAAGTCGTTCCATAGTCAGTTTAGCCACAAGTTGCTTATGACTTTGACGGGCACAAGTCGTTTCAAAGTTGTAGTGTCATATAGAGTTTGCAAACAACTTTTATCTTATCAGTCTATCAATAGGTTATGCACAGACTGTTTTGATTTTTCAATCTGTTTTTATTGTTCATCTTAATAAGGTGTGTGTTTACATTATTATAAGTACATCTTGTAAATAAAATTTCTTTGATTCTAGGCTCAGGACAAATTCAGCTTTGGCAGTTTCTTCTGGAGCTGCTGAGTGATTCGAGCAACGCTGGCTGCATCACATGGGAGGGGACTAATGGAGAGTTCAAGCTCACGGACCCTGACGAGGTGGCGCGTCGGTGGGGGGAGAGGAAGTCGAAGCCAAATATGAATTACGACAAGCTGAGCCGAGCTCTGAGGTAAACCATCGGTAGCAACAACCAGCGAGCCCTAGCGACTTACAGGGTACCCTTATTCTCCAAGGCGACGTTATAACGCTATGCGATTTTATTTAATTAGTGATCTTATACTTTCTCAGACCTGCGACCGTCAACTTTAAGTTGACTTCCGAACAGATGCATTTATTTGATAATTGTTTTTCAATTACACAGATATTACTACGACAAAAACATAATGACAAAGGTTCATGGCAAGAGGTACGCCTACAAATTCGATTTCCAAGGCTTGGCGGCGGCCACGCAGCCGGCGGCGAGTGATCCAGCTTATAAGTACCAGAGTGATCTGTTCATGAGCTCATACCACCACTCGGCTAAGCTCTCGTCATTCATGGCTCCACACGCGGCTATGCCTACATCCACAGGTAATATTTATTTGAAAGCGATGTGCTCCAGCGATTTGTTGTACTGTGATTGAATATTATTGTAGCTCAGCTGTATTCATATATTAAAAATTGTAATCGACACTATACTTTCACGTCATGAGGTGACTTTATTTAACTTTATCCTAAATTATCTTTCAACTAAAGTTAATCTCAGACTACCTATATTAAAAAAGTGTCCGAATTTCACGACCCCAACAACTCGACACTGTTGTGCTGGTAATCTACATTTCTCTGCTAATGCTTCGGTACACTTGCGTGCACAAATATTTGCACGCCGCTCGAAAGGGGTTGTCATTGGCACGGACTGAGCACACTTGACTTAATGCAACATACTATTTAAACTCGACAGTGTACCGTATTGGAATTTTCAGTCACATTTACTTTACCATACGCAGACGTGTTACAACATTGTATTTGACAAGGATTTTTTACCAAACTATAACATTCGCAATTTATTGAACCATTTTTTACGTTGATTGTGGAATTAGGTAACATTTTAATGAAAAAAATGTAATGGGTTTTTGACAATTATTCGAAATTAATTGTATACAGTTATACATGAAGTGTTAAATAAAAAAAAAAAAAATTATGGATCTCATAAATAGTAAAAATTTTCACTGGTGTACTTTGTCCAAAAGATAAGTTTATAGATTCTAATCAAATCTAATTTTATTAATAATTATATCTGTTTTTATTTTATTAAACCCGATTTGACAATTATAATTCAACATCTTAAATAACGGGATTTGTCACCAACAGAAAAGATGTCACCATAGAATAAATTTTATTTTTTTCTAAACCTCTAATTTACTGTCAGTTCCAACAATGTTTAGGATTCATATATTATAAAAGACGATAATAGCCCATTTTTGGTATTATTCTAAATTGCGTTTATGTGCTATGCAAAATTTTATATTTTAATGAATTGTTTTTGTGGAAATTCTCAAGAGCGTACTAAACTTTGAAGTGACTTTAGTTGGCTGGTGCAAAGAAATCAAATAACCTTTACATTAAAGTTTTATAATGAGACAAAACAACCCCAACACTATACAAAAAAGAGTAAATGATGTTATAATTAAAAATTTGCTGTAATCAATTTACTGATGGCATTAAAATTTAGAGACTTAACTAAAATGAGAAATAAATTAGTGTTCCAAGTTTAGTACGCTTTTGTGCGCGTCCTCTAGCACTTAATAACTGAGGTAAGAAAACTTTTGTTTCAGCGTCGATATTCCCATCTGCGTCATGGGGTAACTGGGGCGGTGGGGGCAGTAATCTATACTCACCACACTCTATGGCCCCACCTCATGTGACGTCACACCTCGGCTCCTACCCGCACTACGCATGACCAAGATAAAGAAAAACGACGACAATCGACAATGATTTGCAATTTTAATTATGGAACAATTTAATTATATGAATATTTTTTGATATAATTCTATTTTTAAATAATTGTTTGAATTTTTAAATTTTATTTATCATTATTTATTTCAACTTTGTCTAATGGTTGTTTCTTTCTATTTATTTTGCTAACATTCCTGTGACAAAGTTTTTTAGTTATTTTTTATGAATGATGTAATATGTACGGGTGTTCTCATGCCAGTATATCAAGTTTTCGCAAACTGGCAAACTTTTGAATAAAATTAAAATGAATTCTTGCTTTGTAGAAATAAAATTGAAAATCTTGAAGAAAATTTTGTCGATCAGTTTGTGGCAAGTTGATGTACTGGCATTTGTATTTAAGTTACACGATGCAATATTTTTTTCGTCATACGAGTCAGGTGGACCGCAAAACTAGTCTTTTTATCAAAGAATGATGTAAATAATAGATACTCTTTACAATTAAGTAGAATTATTTATATAGAATAAAAAAAATAATGAAAAAAATTATTGGTCGTATGAAAATTATTGTAAAAATAACGAATACTTCTTGCTGATAAGCTGATCAGTTTTTTGCAATAACATACATTCATATAATTATATGAAGTCATATTGAGATCTCTGTTGAATAATTTGACTAACAACATTCCATTAGTTTTATTATGTAAAATTAAACTTTCTAAATCTAGTTTCGACTATATCACGTTGAGATGACTTTTAAAATCATTGACTATAATAATCAATCGAATGTTTAGTTCTATTTAACAAAGTTATTGCAAAATAAGCTCAGAAAAGTATTCGGTACTCAAAAAAATTAAGCACATTCGCCACGTATAGTTAAACGTTTGGCGGCAATATACCCAGTATTAATAAACATGTAAAATAATTAACTAACTTGTAAGCCAAGATATTATGAGGTATACCTAAAGTAAGTATTTTTATTAAAATCCAAATTCGTTTTGAAAAATAAAAACTAAGCTCAAATTTTTTGTGCCATTTAGTGCATGGGCATAAATCGTCCATCTTGATTTTATCGAATTGCCGTGGTTTAAATACATAAGTACAGTGACTAACCTCTTTGTACATAATTATTATCAGTATTATAGAAGCAATAATTTATTAAATTTCTATATTTTAAGCCAGAACAGTAAATTACCATGGCTTATCAAAAAATAATTACTTTTAAATAATAATTATTATCTTCATTCAACCGGTTTTTATTTGAAAATAGTTTTAAAATATTAAATTTATTTATCTCAGTATCTTGAGATACATTTTAACACGACTGGTAAAAATTTCAAAAATTTCGTAAAGTAACAATTATAGACCGACAATCGAATGATATTTTAAATTTTACGTAATTCTATGTATCTATTATTCTATAAACTGAACATGACGTAGTTTATATACAATTCAAACACAATTCCTATTTTATCGTTGTAATCAAACTTGTTCCCATATAATAAAGTCCTTCATTTATATTTTTCATTATGATCTTCAAAAAATATTCCAATATTAGTTAGTTACCAATGTTACCTTTTATTGTACCTAATAATACCAAATACTGTGAAGTAATAGACGTGTATATAATGTTAGATTATTTTAAAAAAGTGCAATCGTATTAGTAATAGTTTAGATTTGAACTCTTCGTGTAATTTATTGTTTATATTATTGTAATAGTAATTATTGTATTATTTTATACAGAGCATTTGGTGTGTGGGTTGACTCGAATATTTGAGGGTCGTTTTGGTGAAGGACCACAATGACTGATGTCAGAAACCTTAGAAACTACATTGAATAAAACATTTGATGTAGCTTGAATCCCTCAAATAGTTGTACTCGTGCACCACACATACTGTATACATAGTTATTTTAAATCTTGATTTGGATGTTTAGATTGGTCTGTGGTTCGAACATGATTTTGCATTGGGTATCTTCATGCTAGGTTTCAACGAACAAGATTTATGTAAACTGTAATTCATTAATTACTTCTTAATTTTTAAAGTTCCTTCATTGACTGGACATTTTTGATCGAAATAATTACTAAGCTCAGTTTGTAAAGAATTGGGCTTATTTTAATAAAATGTGTTAACTAGCATGAGATGCCCCGTTGAGTGAGAAATAAATTAGTATTATGTATCTATGATAATCAATTTAAATGTCGCAGCTAAATATTAGCAGTCATAATTATTTAGACTAAAATGTTTTTAGAATAATAATTTTAGTTAACATAAGAATTACCTACCTAAGTATTATCGTGATTTGCAAAAAGATTTCAGTCATTAGATTTTGATTTTATTTATTTATTTATATTTTGAAATTTTGCTCTATTTATTTTTAAGGTAATTTTAAAACATTTTTCGTTATAATGCATGTGTCAATAATAATGAAAAACATTTAGTCGTAGAAGACCATTGTATAGATGTTATTGTATTTGAAAATGAATAAACAAGTGAAATGTACTGTTTCGAATTATTTTCCCATTTGTAGCTCATGGTACCACTGCGCTAATATCGCCAGTCCGTAAGTCTAAGAATGCAACAGGCAATAAAATACTCATGTTACATTCGAGGTGTAAAAATAAATAATCTGAATAAATTATTATGTTTTCGGCTTACTCACGTAATAATTTGACAAGGAACTCGACTAGTTTCAAGCCATGCTAGAGGCTCATATTCATTTTATTATGCTCATATTACAATACAAATGAATAATCTGATTTTTTATCGTTTCGAGTCAATCACACTTTTTTTTAATTATGATAAATACCTAAAATTAAAGCAAATGGCATCCAGATTGACAAAGCCCCGATGCGCAGGCCTTCTAATTATATCTGTAAAGTTTTAAAAAATCTAACCAAACAAAACGTACCGTCGCGACAACAGGAACAAATTAATTGTTCCTTTAATGATATGTTGTCAACATTATTATGTAGACAGTATTTGTTATCTGGTGTTTTAATCAAAAGTTTCGCGAATCTATATCCAGGGATTTACCTCTGCTCTGAAGCAGGTCTACTGACGTGGTGTCCCATAATGATAAACAGCACAGACCAAATAAGAGGTTTTAGTTAAGTTAAAATTATCCTTTCACTCTCTATTCTTCGTCTCTAAAAACCTAGAGAGCTTTTGAAGTTTGTCATTAAAAAGAGAACACTATTATGTGCAACATGTTGCAAGCCAAATGCTGCCTAGTTGACTTAAGAAATAAACGGACATTTAAATCGTATCATAGTACACTCTTTTATTTAGCTTGGGGTTAAAAGCAGCAAAGAATATTTTTAAGTTTAAATGTGCCATGTACGTGATTATGACCGACAGAGCCATCTAGGAATATAATAGAGAACTTTTTGCCACCCTTACGACACTCAACCCTCCCGTTTCTACCCTCTTTCAACCCTCCCTTAATTCCAGTGTTGTTGTGGATGCCCGCAGTTACGTATAGATGGAACTGTTGTTAATTCTCATATTAAATGACCTATGAAGCATTTTTAGAAATTAATTACGGTAAGTATTTATTGTTATTTGTCTTGTATAGGTATTTAAAAGTTAGTAGCCATGCTCTAATATATTATTATAATAAATATCTTTGATTGTTTCAAAGCTAATCCAAATAATCATTCATTTTTCTTGTTAGCACTAAGTAACACTATAAATTCGAAAAATATTCGATACAGATACACTCGTGGTCAAAAAAAAAAACGAAATTTTAGCAAAATTCTAAGATTTATTTCAAATGAGCAAAATTTTGGTTGTTTCCGCCCGGGATTGAACCGGGGACCTTCTGCGTGTTAGGCAGATGTGATAACCACTACACCACAGAAACTGTGATAGTAGTAGCCAAATTTCAGGTTCGCATTCGTCTTCGTAGCAACTTTAAAAGCTTATAAAACCTTAATTCGAACTAATTTACTAGAATTTCTATAAAAAATATGTTCGTATAGACTGAAAGTTTAGGTTGAGATCATCAAACGACATACTTACTCTATTAATATTATATAGTACAAACTAAACTGTGTTAAGTAGAAAACTACATTTTCCAATAAATCGGCTATTGCGGAGTCAAACAGCGAACCCTCTCTATAACTTTTTAATGACCTGATATAGGTACAGAATCAGTTGATCTCTAAACTTAGATAATAACACCAAAGTATACTCGTAAGCAGCAACTCTGTGTGATCTATAAATTGTTGTTCCGGGTCTGAGTGTTATGTGTATGTGAACTTGTATGTAAACCGATATTGGATGCTATTTTGTCAAAGCCAAGCTATGAGAACAAACAAATGCGCATATATCTGGCACATTAACGTACTCACGACACAAGAAAAAACCTAGTACGAAACAATGTTTTTTTATAAAATAACATAACATCACGCCTTTTTATCCCCGAAGAGGTAGGCAGAGGTGCACATTTCGGCACTTAATGCCACTGTACAATGTAACACCCACTTTTCACTATTTATGTTATGAGTCCCATGTAATAGGGGGTGAGCCTATTGCCATATACCGGGCACATTTTTCCAGACTCCGTGCTACTACTGAGATTTTTAAAAACCCAGTAATACTTTGCCCGACCCGGGAATCGAACCTGAGACCCCTTGCCCGGCAGTCGCACTTGCGACCACTCGGCCAATGATATATTTGATATTATATTAATCCCCCCCTCCATATTACATTTTTCTCATACTCACCTTTCGATTCAAATCTGGCGGCTAGTGGGATATACTAAAATCGAGTTTGGTTGCACTACAGGCTTGTCCGGTCCATGGCATGACGTCGTCAACGTAGAACAGTGCAGTAACTTGGCAAGTTACGTTATTGTGACGCAAGAATGCAAAAATACTTTACGTTGCCGTGCCTTTATATTCTGTTACTTGTTTACTTCTTGATTAACATTAGGATATCTATACACTAGAGGGTGAAAATAGCTTTGGATGTGAAGATAAGGACAGGTCTTTATAGGTCTAAATCTTCACGTCAATTCTTAAAACGACATATTGTATGTCGACCCACAGCGCTTTTGCGATACCGTGCACTAGCACGTTGCGATGACGTACCGTGGCGTCAACGTACAACGTACGACGTCGTGACGCAGCGTACTACATTCCCCCACAAACCGCAAGGAAAATGTATACAGTGGCACAATAGGTTGGTAAGTAAGAGGCTTCCCTATCCAATAAATATAACAACCAAGTAATAAATAAACAATTTTATTCCATTTTATTAGTAGGAGAGGTGGTTTTTTTTACGATGCTTACGATAATTGTACAATGTGTTATGACGATAAATTATATAATTATGTAGTTTCAGAATAAAGTGCGACAGTCAGTAAAATGAGTGTCAGTTGCCGCGCGTGTGTTGCAGTCAAGAACTTGAAAATCACCAAAAAAGAAATAACAATTTGAATTCAAGTACTTATACACCCATTAAATTTCATGAAAACATTCTTTAGACGATTTTAAACAAAAATAAATAAGTCAGATATAATGCACATTTTACAATTAATAATTTTATTTATGTACAAAAATGTCGTCGTTCTAGCGCCATCTTACTATGTGAAATACAATTACTATCTATTTAAGTAATTATATAGGGAAGTAAACGTTGGATTATTGTATTTTTGTACATTAATAAAGATGAAATGTTTCGTTTAGGAAGAAAATCATACAACGTAATATATTAATTGTTAAATTAAAATGTTTTAACCCCCAAATATTTAAATAAGGATAGTAATATTCCATCAATCGAAGTGATGTTTGTTTGTCATTCTTTTGACTTAGAACTCGGAAATATATACCAAGCGCGCAACATATTTATGGTACTGCTTCGATCAGCATACTTGCAGCTGATTATTTTTACTATTGTTCTAATAGTCTTTTCTACTAACTAGTTACTTTCTAATAAAAAACAAAGTATCCAACTGCACAAATTCACGACGTCATAATCGCTTTTACTTTCAGAAAAACGCTATCTTAATCTGCACGACTGACGTATTCCATAACACGCAAATAGTGGCTGACATTTGTTATATATAAAAGAAAGACGAAATTACACGTATTTATAACTCGAGAACAGCTATATCGATTTGGATGACAATTGGTGGGGAGATAGATTAGTACCAGAAGACGGTCATAGGATACTTTTTTATCGAATTTTCTTTTACTTTTCACCGAAAATCACGAACGGGAACGGGAAAGAACGGGATTGCGCGTACGAAGTCGCGGGCAGAAGCTAGTTTGTTATACTTAAGAATCATCTAGATCTGATTCACACAACTTAACGAGTAATAAAAACACTAAGGACCGATTTTTCAATCATCAGTTAAATCTTAACTTTATAATAAAATAGACATTTGACAGTTATGTGGAATAATTGTTAAATATTTAGTTATTCCACAGTTAAAATTTACCTGGTGTTGAAAAAATCGGCCCTAAAAGAATTTTCAGGCTACATTCGAACTCCCGACTGCAACAGTAGTTGAGCGGCTGACACTCACCGCTCACACGTACATATAAGGAGATAACTATTACTTATAATGTTTTCAGTGCTGATATTATCACTTTTTAAAACTAGCGCCACCTCCCCTTCTATTTAGTGTAAATGTACAGCAAAAAATAAATCAATAGACTCTAGGTACAGGAGGAATCCACTTGACTTCATCATTCATAGTCTTGTCAATAACTGGTCTAAAGGTTATATCTACTTTGCCTGAGCTCAGGTCTATAGTAGACAACGAATGCTTCCTCCAATGCTGCGCGAATGGTCTTTTTTTCTGAAAGTAAAGTAATTATTTTAAAAGAAAAATGTATGCCATAATACATCAATAAGTCATTATATATTTTTTGCGTAAGTATCTACAATTTGAGTGAATTATGCACTAAAATCTTAGATACTTGTTTAAATATTGTTTTCTAGAAATGGACGGTATAGGTAAGTGGTACTTGGGATACATTTGTCTTTCTATTTTTCCTCAAACAGAGTGCTTACTCTTGAAACTAATATGAATATCAATTTGATTTCAGTCCAATAAAATCTCAATAATTATTCAATGTCAAAACTATACAACCCCTATCGTAGCTGTTTAAATAGCATTCAAAGTACGAAATATTAAGCCAAACTAATTACCATATATAGTCGACACTATTATTTTAAAAGGTCAACTCGTTTATCAGTCTATATACCGCTATAATTTCAACATCCTAGAACGTCCACGTAAAAGGTGAAAAAATCTAGTTCATAATATTATTATGTCATTACTTCGTTAGTCAGACAACTTCATAAATAATAACATAAAAAGCATCTTAATGAGAAGTATATTTAAGTAGAAGACTTATTTAGAGAATAATATTCTAATACTCAGAGAATAATATTAATTTCTACCTGTTTTACCTATCAGTAATCCGTAATCAATTGTAATTATTTTTAAAAACTGGTTATTTTAAAGGACTTTTTATACTGGCTAAGGATGTGTGGATAATGGTTTGGATCTTTGAAAAACATTCCTGCTCCTGCTATAAGAGCCGGAGCCTCAATAACCCTCAGTCTACCGAAGTTATTTTAACTCAAGTATTTTTAAGGGGGCACAGAAAACATTTTCTTACCTAAATTAACTACGTGAATACCTACCTCTATACTGAGAAAAGCTCTTCTAGTTTCTTTTCTTTCGAACCGCAGAGAGGTTGTACTGTAGAGTAGGCTGCGCGACATCGCCGCGACCGCGCACGCTGCTCATGAGGAAGAACCCCTCTGTGGTTCGAAACTAATAGAGCTTTTCTCAGTATATTCACGTACTCACGTGAATATACCCGCGATTTTTAATTAATTTAGTATGTCTTACGATAGTTATTATAAAAAAATTTTTACCTGACCCTCCGTTGGTTTACTGTAGTCAAATTCATCTTCTCGTTTAGGAAAATCGTCCCTAAAGTGGGCTCCTCTGCTTTCCGTCCTATTTTTAGCACAGGCCACCACCTGCACAGCACACTGCAGCATATTTTGCAACTCCATAGTTTCAACTAGGTCTGTATTCCAGTTCGTTCGCTTATCCACTACTTGGATATCTTCATAAGCCTTGTACCATTTTTGAATTTCCTCATCCGCTGTGGAAATAAAGTCACGTGATGTGATCATGATATGTGTGCGATACTGTCAATCTGAACAAACTATTGGTCCGATGTAACATCGGCCTTCACCAATCTGTTTAAGGGATAAAAATTAAGCCATAATTGATTTAGTTTGATAAAAATATGGGTTACTTGATAAAATCTTAGCCAGGTTACAGGCACAGTTGTTTGAGCATACAGTTGTGTAATATAATAATATCTCCTGCATAGTAGGCTAGTCTAGTTCAATTTGCCACTGTGATAGACACTAATCAATTCAATTCAATTAATCAAAATTAAATAAATATTATGTTTAGCGGACGGCGTCCTCCATCTGACGCAGGTTCTCACCGGACATGGGAGCTTCGGGAGGTACCTTTGTCTGTTGGGGCGGGAGGAAACGCCCGGGTGTCATCACTGCGAGGAACGCCCTGAGGACGCAGTACGGGTATGTCCTGCGTGGGCTGTTAGTCCGCCGTACCCTCAGTGATGTAATCGGCGACGGCGACCTCTCGCGTTCAGCCCTAGTCCGGGTCATGATGCGGAGCGAGGGGGACTGGGATGCCGTCTCCTCCTTTTGCGAAGCAGTTATGCTAGCTAAAGAGAAGGAGGGGCGCATGAGGCAGCGAAGCGCTGCTTCCTCACAACCCAGCCATCGCGAAGAATACTCCGGGCGTCGCGTTCCGCGCGCACCTCAAAGAGCCATCAGACCACCACGGATGGGACCCAATAGGTTCGATGTCGATACGAAGCCGCGGAGGACTTAACAGGAAGCCGAGGCTCTGGCTTGGAGGGCAGGAGTAGGAACGGGGTGGTTTTAAGTCAGAGTCTGACAGCCTCACCCAGCCGGCAGAAATTATTCGACGATTTTCCCCCCTTAAATAAAAGCGGTGGACGTCTTGTGGCTCTATTATGATGATTACTGATTTGTTTTATATAGTTTTTAGTCAGAGTCTGACAGCCTCACCCAGCCGGCAGAAATCATTCGACGATTTTCCCCCCTTAAATAAAAGCGGTGGACGTCTTGTGGCTCTATTATGATGATTACTGATTTGTTTTATATCGTTAATGTACATAAAAGAGTCTGCTTTATTTAAAAAAAACCTTAGTTACCTTGATTTAATAGTTTGGCGTCTCTGAATACTCCACATTTGTTCTGCATTGTGTGTCTCATGGCTTCCCTCAGTTCATGGGTTGGAACGCAGCCGTTCGCATTTTTAATTTTATCAAAATTATCAAGAGAACAATCACAGACATTCTGAAACAAATAAAAAAGCCGAATCAATACAAAATAATAACTCGGGCGTTTAAGATTTTCATGCAAGCGTTTTTTGTTGGAGGACATCATCCAATGACATTTCCAGCCTTGAGTGACGCGAAAGGGAGTGTCCAGACTTTTACTGACTAAAAACCATATCTTTCGCTCTTTGAGCTAGAGACCCGGCAAACCCTTAAGTCCTCCGTGGCTCCACATCGGCGTCGGCACTACAGACCCCATCTGTGATGGCTCTATAAGGCACTTGGAACGCGACACGCCGTACGCTCTGGTCTACTTCTGATAGGGCAGCGAACCGCCCATTCTCACCGTCCACAGCCCCTTGCTTACAGTGGGCAGTGATCATCTCACGATCCCCGAGGTCTAGAGTATCCTTCTCGACAGCTGAGTAGTGTGGAAGTGTTCGCAGTCTCACGCACCCCGCTTCCTTCATAGCTAACACGACTGCTTCATGGAGACGGCATCCCAGTTGCAGTCCCTCTCTTTTCACATCATGGTCGGAACCAGAGCCGGACGCGAGAGGTCGCCATCGCCAATCGTGATGAAGCCTGGCTTTATAATTTCTATCGACGACGTTACAGTGGAATAGGTCATGTCTTGTTATAAAAACATATGGAAACTGATGCTGTGACGATGCATCGGAAAAATGGGGTCACATTTTAACGCTCTCCGTTTTAGAAAAGCTGGCCATTGCCCAACAGTGGACACTTACAGAATTGTAAATAAATCGAATTGTAAATTAAGTATTTTTTTGTTATCAAACGAATCAATTTATATTATAGTCATAACCATAAAATGTACTTACACTTTTCAAGGTCATTTGTTTGTCACCTGGTTTATAGTTCTTTTTTATAGTTTCAGCGATTGATTTCCCGAATACCACGACGTCGAGTATTGAATTAGCGCCCAGCCTGTTGGCTCCATGAGCATTCGTTACCACCTCACCGGCAGCAAACAGTCCCGGAACTGTACAATCTTTCCCCCCCTGGTACATTAAGACCTGTGGTAAAGAATTAAAATTAAATAGAATCAACTCTACACTCAATAGAGTGCTCCTATCATAATTAATATTAATGTATTTATTCATTATCTTGGACATGGATCTATTTCATCCTTTAAGTACTTAGATTTTTATGGAATAAACAATAGGGTGGACTGTCCCATAGTAAGCATGGGTTGCTGAACTTTCGGCAATGGGCGACCGGTAACCTCAATGATAATGACATAGTTTTGCTTCACGCTGGCTTTCTGGTAAAGCCGTGGTGTCTGATCTAGCCAGCTCATGCGCGCTGAAGACTGAAGGGTGCGCGCTGAAGGTCTTCTACGCCTGTTTTTTTTAAACTACTAGTATTGTCATATCAGTTTACGAGTTACAACTAGTTGGCCTGAATAGGAATATATTAGGAGCCTACCTCGCCCTTGTAGTTGATAGGAAGGCCACCCATAGTGTAATGCACAGTGGGTATAACGGGTACAGGTTGCGTGTATACATCAGCCCCTGTGAACGTGAACGCTGACTCTGAAATCCCGGGTAACTTTTCCCTTATCAGCTCCGCAGGAAGATGGTGGAGCTGGAGGTATACGTGATCTTTCTTAGGTCCTACTCCACGACCTGTAAACAAAAATTACATTTTGATCACTGTCAAGACGAAACACGAAATATCTTTAAAAATGTCAATCTGTACTTCAATTTCAAAAGCATCCTTGAAATATCTTGAAATAATTTTGTCTATACTAATAGTATAATGAGGTAAGATTTGATTTTTTGTATGGAATCTCCTCTGAAACTACCAAGCCGATTTAAAAAAATCTTTTATCGTTGCAGTCCTACATTATCAATCCTGAACAAAGGCTATTTAATAAAACAGAAAAAAGGGAACCGTGTTGAAAATTTAGATATGTAACCCGATGTGTAAAAATACTACCAAAAATCTCCTTACACTGTTTAAGCCTTTGACTGCCGATAGAAAACTGTTTTCAATGACTAAGAATAATATTTAGATGCATCAGAATGAGAGATTGAAAAAATACGAATTCAATAAACTAAATACATTTTATTCATTGACTAGCTTCTGCCCACGGTTTCGTTCGCGCTCTTTTAAAGTATTGAGGGCAGGTTTACAAAAGATAAAAAAGAATTGGTACCCGATGTTTTCCTGGTCACAAATATGATACTAATTTTAATTTTCTCGAAAATTACGTATTGCTTTAAACTTCCAGCCCTTGTTTTAGGGAAGTAGTGGGTTAGAAAGAGACAAAATGTCGCCTTTGCTACTTTCAACCCTTTCTACTATCTCCATTCAGTAAAAAAATCACTCTAATTTCTAACAAAACAAACAGAAGTAAACCAATTTATAACAATAAGTATACCTTTCTATGTTAACTGAGATATTTTTGACAAGTGAGTTTTATGCCAATGGATTATTAACAATATTTTTTTTATTTTTATCATGATACAACATTAATGCCCAAATACTGAAACGTTACTTAATTTTAAGTCGCGCTTGAGTATAGTTCTGTCTACAAATTCTTAGTAAAATGACAGAGATGACACGATATTTAAGCACGACTTAAATTGAGTAACGTTTCACTATTCCCCGTAACGGCATAAGCCATCCAAAGAGGCTGGATACTAATTTTATTACCCATTGAACTTAGTTGATTAAAATTTGGTTCAATGAGAGTTTGAGACACTGGCACTGGAGAGGAAATCTCGCGGGACAGGAACTATGCGTTAAAATCCCGGGACTCTCTATTGCTTAAGTCACTGAACCTATTTGATTGCAATTCGGTACAACAATAGTTTGAGACGGGGAAAATGACGCCTGAAAGTGTTCAAACGCTGTACCTATTTGATTGGAATTCAAATGGACTTTTAATCCCTGACCCCTCACGGGAATGGATACTCTACGGATAAAATCCCTGTAGGATTGTTTATTTTCTGAAATCACGAAAATAAACAACATTTCACAATAAATATAACTAAATTGATTATGATGAAATTTGTTACACAGCATTGTAATTAATCTTGGAGAAGACTAATCTAAAATTTGCCAGAAGTCATTATTATACGCGGACGAAGTCGCGGGGGACAGCTAGTACCTATTTAATAACTTTCTAATTAAATACTAAGGTGGCAGTTCTACGTACTTTAAACGCCATCTATAAGTTTTTCTATGAAACGGCGGACGGGGACCAGAATAATTGTTATCCTTTTTTTATACACCCCGGTGTCCCGCTAACGCAATTGTAATACGACAACCATCCGATAGATGGCGCAATTTTGTAAAAACCAAAATAAGTATGTATGTAAAAATCGTACTAGGTGGAGCACAATAATGTAAAAACTGTTTTCTGTTGCCTTTAAAAAATCTGTATAAAAACGAGGTTTACAGGATCAAAACAGCCTATGTTCACATGTGAATGAAGCGTTAAGCGCGTCTTGATTATATACGCGTTTCCAGCTACGTATATTTTCCTGCACCGGTGACATTACGTGGACATGCTAACGCTCACTTTAAGTGTCAAAATAACTTGTTTACCTTGACGAATCTCAGTGGCTATAGATCTAGACACTACGTCACGGCTAGCCAAATCCTTAGCTTTCGGAGCATACTTCTCCATGAACCGTTTGCCTTCACTATTCACTAGGTACCCTCCTTCTCCTCGAGAACCTTCAGTCATCAAGCAGCCGGACCCGTACATGCCTGAAAAAGATTATTTCCTTAGTCATTTAACACACGTTAGATTACAGATCTTATACTATTATATAAAGCGGAAGAGTTTGTTTTTTTGTTTGAATGCGCTAATCTCCGTAACTACAAGTCTGATTTGAATAATTATTTTTGTGTTGGATAGCGCATTTATCGAGGATGGCTATAGCTGAGCAGAGCCTGTGAAACCGCGCGGAAGTAGCTAGTTACTAATAAAACTATAATTACGTCAAGTATCATTACGGCACACTCAGTGAAGATGATACTGGAATGTCATTATTATTCGTAAAAAGTAAGTTAGACTGAAAGACTGCCTCGTTGGCCGAGTGGTCGTAAGTGCAACTGCCGGGGAAGGGGTCTCGGGTTCGATTCCCGGGTCGGCCAAGTATTACTGGGTTTTTGTAAATGTACAGTAGCACGGAGTCTGGAATTGTGCCCGGTATATGGCAATAGGCTCACCCCCTATAACATGGAACTCATAACATAAATAGTGAAAAGTGGGTGCTACATTGTACAGTGGTATAATATGCACCTCGGCCTACCCCTTCGGGGATAAAAGGCGTGATGTTATGTTATGTTACTAAGTAAATTTAATTATTATTCTAATAGTTAACGGAATTGTGATAATTTAAATCAGAGTAGCTGGGCTTTCAGCAGTACGCCACAGTATGCTGAGGTACAGCATGCTGACAGTTAGCACTGGCTCTTAGGATTTATATAGAGCGTCTTGTGTCACGTAATCTATGAAATTGTTTATCTACTTATATCCACTCTAATGTTATAAATGAGAAAGTATGTGAGTCTATTTGTCTATCTTTAACTGCAAAAGGGAGCAACGAAATGGCGTGATTTTTAAGTAAAGATATTTTGTTGAGATGAACTATCCTTTCAACTATATACTTATGTATATGACAAAAAGTAGTTTTACAGTAGAGAGTGATATACATAGGCTACTTTTATCTCTGTTAACCCGTCGAGCGTCCGTGTTCCTTATGATCCAACGGGTGCACACGTGACATTTAGACCATTTTTTGTTATGATCCACCGGGTGCTCATAAGAACGTTCCAGGGGTTAAAGCCCTCACTATCCTATAATAGGGGCTGGAAGTTTGTGTTGATTATTTAGTAATTTTCCTGGTAGAAAGGTCAAAAAATTGGCAGACGGACTATTTTCAAAAGTCAAAAGTTGAAAAATTTTTTTCAATTAAACCATAATTTGGTACTTTTGAAATGTCAACAAATACAAAATAAATAATAGTCTGTCAGTCAGTCCGTCAGTGAAGCTTGGTGAAGCTAGGTGCAGCATTATTAACAAAGAAGTAATTTTTTTATTAAAACATCACGCAACGACCAATATGAGCCAAGCAGCAGGTAAAACCGCGCGGTAGTAGCTAGTGTATCTATATTTCACGCTTACCAGTCGGGTGGAACTGGATGAACTCCATATCCTGAAGAGGAATACCAGCTCTGGTGGCCATTGCTGTACCGTCGCCAGTACAAGTGTGGGCAGCAGTACATGAGAAATACATCCTTGGGTAGCCACCAGTCGCTATTATCGTGTTCTTTGCTTGAAAACTAATCGAAATATAAGTTATTCTTCTTTAGCAACTATGACTTCGAAAAAGCATTAACCACACACACACACACACACACACACACCCTCACACACACACACACACACACACACACACACACACACACACACACACCCTCACACACACACACACACATACACACAATAAAACACGATACGTAATATAACTTTCATATCAGAAAGTATAGAACAGGGCAACAACAAGGTTTAAATTCCCAATTTTGCATCCCAAAGGTAAGTTTGTTTCCATGTTACGCATTATCTAAATCAATATTCTTAAAAGTTTGCATAAACACAACTGAGTATGGCGAAGAACATTACGCTAATTCAAGTGTGGATACAAAGCAAGTATCTGGAGCTGCATACCTGTGAAGACTGCCATCATTCATGTCCATTGCAAGACATCCAACTACCTCCCCTTCTTGCACAAGGATGTCCATCACAAAGTACTCATAGAATGGATCGACCTGCTTAAACTGCGTTAAGTATCCGTACAAAGTATGAAGTAAAGCGTGGCCGGTACTGTAAAGGCGAACAGGCTATTTATTAATATAGAAGTCAGTCATTTAAAGAACTACGTTTTCACAGAAGAGCTATGCTTCGGCACGAATGGCGAGGCTTGCGTTAAATTAATTTAACGTTCAATTCAACTTATATTTTTGTAAGTAATTGCATGAGAGCACCAGCGTCGCTAGAAATTAATGAAATTTGTGGTGCGATGGTCTCTATAAGGACAGTCGGTGTGACATCAATTGTGTCGAGACAGCAGATATTTGATGCAAAACTGAGTATAACCACTTCATTTATTAATTTTTCAGATTCGTGATGTGCATTTTTTACAAATAAATTCCTGTATGAAACCAATAACTTAAAAAAATATTATTATACTTTTTTCATCAAACTTGTACATGCGTTCCTAACTAAAACAACAAAACATGAAATAAACAGAATTGCTAAAAGCTACATTCAAATATTAACGGTTTTAAAAACCAAACACAAAAAAGGACAAGCATAAATGCATTTCCTGCGTAGTTTTTAACAACGCTTTTATATCGATCGTTAAGCCACAGCATTTGTTTTATATCTCGCTGCATAATGGATTCTGTTTATTTCTGGTTTGGTTATTTTTATTTCTATTTGGCCAACACCCCGTGGTGATATTGGAATAGTGAACATTGTTTATATTTTTCCTATATGACGTGTCATAGGAGCCGACGAAGGAACAATATAATTAGCGTTCTCCGACAAAACTGATCGTCCAATCCACCTACCAAGTGTGAAAGTTATGTAAAACCCCTTCTATTATAGAGAGAAGGTACATAGTCCATTAATGGACTGTGTCAATGATGATGAGACTTTAAAATAGAAAGTACCGGTCGGCACAAGCACATGTTCGTTTGGCTATACTTTTACCAAAGTTAATAGTCCCGCCTCCAAAAGGTCTTTGGTATATCTTTCCTTCCTTTGTCCTTGAAAATGGCATGCCCATGTTTTCCAGCTCTGTAACGCATGTAGGAGCATTTCGAGTCAGATAGTGTATTGAATCCTGAAATATTACGTATTATTATATATATATATATATTTTCTATTTAAAAATCCACAGACATTGTACCCAACGTTCTTTCAATTACATTACCTGATCGCCCAACCAATCTGAGCCTTTGACGGTATCATAAAAATGATACTTCCAGGTATCTTTGTGCATACTTCCTGAAATTAAAAGTATTGGATTAATTTGACATCTAAACTACTCTAGATAATACCTTTTTATAAATAAACGCAAATTATAGTGGACTAGCTACTTCCGCGCGGTTTCACACGCTCTGCTCAGCAGTCGTAGCGTGATGTTTTATAGCCTTTAGCCATCCTCGATAAATGCGCTATCCCACACAAAAAGAATTATACAATTAATCAGACTTGTAGTTACGGAGATTAGCGCGTTCAAACAAACAAACTCTTCCGTTTTATATAATAGTATTTATAAGATTACATTTTAACTTACCAAGAGCGGCGTTCATGCCTCCCTGTGCAGCGATGGTGTGGGACCGAGTCGGAAATAGCTTGGATACCAAAGCTACACTGAAATTAGCTTCAGCGAGGCCAGCAGCGGCTCTGAGCCCAGCTCCTCCAGATCCAATGACCACACAGTCGTGGCAGTGCTGTTGGATTGTGAACGCAGCAGTACGATTAAAATCTAAAAGGATTAGTAGTAATAAATCATCGTGTCTATTACCAAAGTATTTATGGCTACTGAACATCGGTAGACCTTAATGAGCAGTTAAGGCCAAGATGACATTATACTATACTAGGTATATTCTACAGAGATTAGGTTTTTTTTAAGGGGGGAAAATCATCGAATGACTCCTCCCGCCTGGGTGAAGCGGAAGGGAGTGTCAGACTCTTACTGACTAAAATTTTATTGTGAGGTCCTAAGAATAACATCATCATCATCATCATCAACATCAACAGCCTATAAATGCCCACTGCTGAGCAAAGCCTCTTCTCACACGGAGAAGGTTTGAGCATTATCACCACGCATACTCAGGCGATTACAAACTTATAATTACAAATTATTAGTCCATGCACATACTCGCTTCATGCGCTTGTATCATCATTTCATCAATACAAACGCAACAATCAGTCTGTACGGAGGCGAAGACGCGTGTGTTCCTAATACGCGCCTCGTCTACACGTATAAAAAAACGCCGTGTGATATGGGCTTAAATAAAATGATTTATTGATGGTAATGAGATATAAGATAATATAGGTAATAATACTACCATATGTGTGTTTATACAGCCCATAAGCAGTTCCCGTTTCCAGTAATAGATCAGGGTTACTTAAAACCAATCTCAATGTCAATGCAATTTCAATCCGTTAGAATCTCAATAATTATTAAATTTCAAAACTATACAACCCCTATCATAGCTGTAAAAATATCATTCAGAATACGGCTTTTAAAGCAAAACTCAATATTAAGTTCATTAAATATCAATGGAATATGGATGCAATGAGCGTTCAACTCAAGAGTATAAAATTACACAATACCAATTTCGATCGCTCGGAATTGAATTCAAGAATAAGCCGATTAAGTAAGGTCGATAGTACCCCCTCCAATAATTACCTACCTATTAAAAGACGTAGTAATGTAGTGTGTGTCAATATGAGTCGAATAATGTTTAGTCAAGATGATTAGGTTCAGTTTGTAAGATGAACTAACATTAACTACAAACGGGTTTCCTCTTTTTATTTATACTAAAGAGATGCCACTGAGAAAGTTTCACACGCTCCTAATTCCCAAAAGGCCGGTAACGCACTTGTAACGCCTCTGGTGTTTCGGGCGTCCATAGGCGATACCGATTGCTTACCATTAGGTGATCCGTTTGCCCGTTTACCGGCTTATCTCATAAAAAAACGCTCTCATATATTTACGCACACAACAAATTTTACCAAGTACAAAGCAAGTCTAGTTATATGAGGACTAAATTAATAAAGTCTTACTTTTCGTTGGCACATAACGCCGCGCAGCTTTTGCAACCGAGCCAATTGCCTGTAAGTAAACAGATTTAAAATTATAAGACTATTATACTGAGAGATCACTGCTGGACTACGGACCTCCTCCATAAAAGAAAGGTTTCACATAATGTACGCTCTTGGTAGGCGTAAGGTGGGAGATCACTGTGAAAGGGTTCAGGAAGTATTCCATGTAGCGCACCCAAACGAAGCGCACCCAGACGAAGCGCACCTAAAGTATTCCACTTAGCGCACCTGTAGGTGCGCTTAAAATAAAAATTTCAAATAAATAATTTTCTATTCCACGAAGCGCAACTACGAATATCACTCGCATAGTGCAGAGACTAAGAAATAAAAATATCGATATAAGAACATATCTATTATTTAAAAGACTAACTTAAACTAACATCATTCAGTTTCATTACAATAATGTGACACAATATTTGTCATGTATTTGATATTTGACCATGTTTTTATTGTAATTATGAAACAGTCTGTGATTTTAAATAGTAAGATTAGAAAATCAAAATGACAAATATTGTGTTGTCTCTGTAAAATATAATTATTATGTAGTCCCTCAGACACCTCTTACGACAGCCGCGGGAATAGTAGTCCTAATACAACCATGCCCATCAACCTATCCTTCCAGAGACAATGGAGACTCTTTACAGTTTGGTGCATAAAAATTTAATTAAAACGAGCACCAATACTGCGTAGCCAGCCCGCCTATTGACTGTGGGTGAATGGGAGGTAGACTTTTAGCTTCAGGCACTTCCGTCACTCAATGTCTGTACCAAAAAAATGACTGAAGTTTTGACGTATGTTTGCTTCTAGGTGCAATGCAGTGAGAAAGTCGACCACCTCGGTGGCCACGGCCTATCGTGTTTCAGAACCACGGGTCGGATAGCTCGGCTAGCTTTAACATCACCCGTTGAGGTATTATCGTCACAAGCGACGATGGTAACGGTTCTGACGACAAGTTCATTATGCTGTGGAAGTTGAGAAAGTCTTTGATGTGGGACGCAACCTGGGTCTCTTGCATCTTCTCATCTTCCAGTAACGGCGGGTTGTGCTGGTGCGGTTGCTGCCACTGGAGAAAACCTCAAGTAGCCCAAATATTACCATTATCCTGCCGGTATTTTTGAGCCGTTTGCGGCTGAAACATTAGGTCCGTGGTCCGTCCGTTTGTTTAAAATCATTTGAAAAAGCCCGGTCGGTCGACGCGGTCACGGTCGTCACCACAGGGCTGGTCAGAGTTTAAATATGCGCGGTTCCACTGAAGTGGTGTGGAGTGGTACGAACACACTATACATCATTATTTTCAGTTTTCTTTTATTTATTTGTTAGCGCATAATTATTATTATTTATTAGGTTAGGTTGTATAAAGATGTAAACATTAATCAATAAAGATTAAAATTAAAAAAATAATAATTTACCTTTGCTAGATGAAACATGATGCTGAATAAAATAACCGTACAAAACACAAAATACAAAGTTATTTAAAATTGTTTCAAATACTTTAAATTACTATTAGAAAAAAATAATCATTGAATGACTGAACATGACAGGCTTCAATTGTTATGTCAAGTTCTATTTTTAAGAAAACCATTCGAAATGTAATCGGCCAGTCAGTATTAAGTGTCACATTTTAAATTAGAACCTTTTTGGTATTTTTTATTCTTGACTACACTCTTTAGGAACTGTGGTAAAATTATTGTTTTTTACTTGTAAATAAATAAAGTTTTAGTTTTTTATAAAAAGGTACCTACTCTATTTTCGCCCGCGGCTTTGCTTAATGCTTGAGAGTGCCGATTTTTTTTTTATAATGTTACATATTAGTTCTCCACGGAATCTTAGTCCGTGCCCTTGTCATAAAATTGTTTGAGAGTGCGGTTTCGAAACCTGCAAATGGCAAGTACCAATGTGACTTTCTAAGATGTAGTTTTTAAGATTATAATTCGACACCAGTGACAAACGGTGAAGGAAAATACCGTGAAGAAACTTGGGCTTAAATTTCTAATTATATGTTTGAAATCGCCAACCCGCATTGAGCAAACGTGGTGATTGATGATCAAACCTTGTCTGTTCACGCTTTGAATTCTATTTATCACGTTTTACTTACTTACTTACACTTACTGTTTTCTTGGTATAATAGTCAGATTCGATTTCTGGGTCAGCAAAAAGTATTATTAGGCTTTTCACTTTTAAACCGGTTCCCCTTTACATATGGCTCATAACATTACCACTCGTACAGTCCTAAGTTCTTTACCGACGTAGCAGTTGTGTGCAAATTAACATTTTTGGTCGGCACGGGAATCGAAATCCCGACACGATGCACACAAGCCGATAACCCTACCACTGCGCCGACCGTGCAGTCACTAACTTTATAAGGAAGATCCTTAACTTCGCCCTAATAATAATACTTAACAATAAAAGCTAACCAAACCTAAAACTAACAATAAAAACGTACATTATTCTGAACACGATGTACCAAAAACAAATACTTTGAACTAAAACTACTCCGACTGCAACTTTGCGTCCATGGTTATTAATATTGATCTACACAAAAAATGCGTTTCCAACAATGTACGTATATACTTTCATAAAGAGTATTGCCGGTATTAGATTCCGTATATTGGTGCCTGTACTCTCCACCCCCCCCCCCCCCTCAATCAGTCGATGTTAGCATAAAATAAAACAATGTAACATTTTTGCCATGCATCGTGTGGATGGGAAGGAGAGCGATGGGGAGGGGAGTGGGAAGAGAACACGAGGCGCAATCGTTCATTAAATATTTTTCCAAATTAAATGCAATATTTTTATACGAAATATTATCGTGTTGGGAAAATAAGACTGTTAAAAACAAAGCGTTGCATTTCATTTCTGTCTGTGTAGTCGTTGTCTATAGTATTATGCATACCTACAATCAGCTTACAATAGTGCACATAAAGGGTAAATAAGTAGGGTGTTCCTTGTCTATGGTCCACAGATAATATTATAGATAATAAGTATTTTGATTTCAGCAAAATAATAAGTCTGTGGACCATTTTATTTTATTTTTATTTTTTAATTATGTTATGTGTGTTCTGCGCAAAAATAAATGGTTTTTGTTCCTTTCTTTCTTTCTTTCACTTTTTAAACATAATCCTGTGGTAAATATTTTATCCACCGCCCGTTTTCCCTGTGGTCTCTCACGCTGAGTGCATGGGAATATCGACTAATGTTTGTGCGCGCCAATCAATCAGTGCATTATTCGAACAGCCAGCTACAATAGTAGCCATGCTCGTCAACCTATATCCTGCTCTTGTAGCGCTTGCTAGACTGTGGGGGGCAGGGTGGTGCCCCCCTAAATCGAGCAAGCGCTACCACGAGGCAAACACTGTCATACCATTCTTTACTGGGACCTAAAATAAACTAAAAGATTTGTTTGTATATAAGTGTCGAACTGCTTGAATTATTACTTGAATCATTTACATAAGTATTTTCGTAGTCACTTAGAACATCAGGCAGTAACAGGAGCAGGCGGCTAGTTAGAAAATAATATTAGCATGACTTTCTGAAATAAACTATTTCTATATCAAATGAAACAAAATGTTTTAACCGCAAAATCAGTACAACAACCTAACAACCTAACAAATAGGTTGCACTCCTACCTTTGGGAAATTAAAGCCGTGATAAAATGCAATATCATATTACATTTTGTAACGAGCTCCCGCTGTTTATTTTCTACCTCTCGACCTACACGGTTTGAACTAGGCCAATTATAACGCAACTCATGACATAACTAAAAGCTTCACATTTTTATTTTATTTTAACATTAACTAGGAACTTCTGTCGTCGCGCTGGAGTGTAAAAAAATAACAAGGTACCCATATTTTTTAACTTTGCAAAAAATAATACTTCTTTGATCGAGCAGTCGCAAGTGTGACTTTCTAGTCGAATAAGGAGTTCGAATTGTCGGTTGGTCTTCGCTAGCCGCATGTGTCGTTGTGGTACACTCGTCTTCTAATATCTGCGTCTTATCTCTGATAAAAACAGACGAGGACTTGCATACCTTAACGTATGATCTCTGCCCTGAATACACACTACTTTCAGATTATGTAGCGTAGAATAAAATTAAAGATGTTAAATGTATCTAAACTATTGTACTGTTCCAAAATTAAAGGTAAATGAGGTAATGAACGTCGTGGTGGCCCGGAGTTTTAAGACGGCGCTTCTCATGCATGAGGGTGCGGGTTCGAAACCTACCAACAGCAAGTACTAATGTGACTTTTTCCGAGTTATATGTAATTTTCGAGATTATTCAGACACCACTGACAAACGGTGAAGGAAAACATCGTGAGGAAACCTGGGCTTATAATTTCTAATTACGCATTGAGCAAGCGTGGTGATTAATGCTCTAACCTTCTCCGTGTGAGAAGAGGCTTTACTCAGCAGTGGGCATTTATAGGCTGTTGATGAGACAATGATGTTTGTAAAGTGAGTGACACATGGCCTTTGCTGGCCGTAATAAGGTCGGCCGACTTGATGGCTCAACACAAACTAACTATGTAGTTATTATTATAAAACAAAATGAATGTGAGGCGATGCTATACGATGTGCGGTTGCACTGTACACTTACGATTTTCTTTGATTCAATTAATATGTCAGCATATACACACTATGTATGTCCTTTGGTAGCGTACAATGCGCGTCTAAGCCTAACTTATTCATTCGACACTTGAATAAAGGTTCTACCGAAATACCGTTCACACACATACTCCGGCTAGGAATCTATAATGAGTTGCTGTTCGTTGGTCCCGCTAAAACTGGAACACCGTTGGACAGAATTGGCTAATTTTGGTCTTGAATTATTTGTGTAAGTCCAGAGAGGTACATTTTCCAGTATACGGACGAACAAAACAATTTAACTCGGGGAGCTACAGCATAATACCGCGCCCGACAACAATACAACACATGTTCCTGTATACAACGATATGTCAAACCTGTAATGGGCGTCCACGTCAGTTCACGAACATTTCGTGAATCGGGAATTGCATGCAGGCCTCGTTGTACGAACAAAGGAAATTGTGAGAGAACAATACCTACATCTACATTTATGATAAAACTGTAGAAGTGTACATTCTGTACACTGAAAGTATTGACTGCCTCATTGGCCGGGTGGTCGCAAGTGCGACTGCCGGGCAAGGGGTGTCATTACTGGGTTTTTATACAAAAAATCTCATTGGTATCAAGGAGTATGGAATTGTGCCCGGTATGGCAATAGGCTCACCCCCTATTACATGTGACTCATAACATAAATAGAAAAAAGTGGGTGTTACTTCTGTGTGCACCTCTGCCTACCCCTTCAGGGAAAAAAGGCGTGATGTTATGTATGTATGAAAGTATTAAAAAAATAAATAGTAGGCGGTGTTACTATATAGACACCGAAACCAAAAAATGTGATTAAAACATTTTTTCTGTCTGTCTTTATGTTTACGCATCCCGCAAAAACTACCGGTCCAATTACGATGAAACTTGGTATGATTATACTTCAATATCCTGGGTAGGTACTTATTATCCCGAATAAGTTTACACACGAAAAAAAAACTTAATTGTACGGCTCGATCCTAAGACACGAATACAGCACCAAACGCAAATATAAGTTTGTCGAATGTTAGGTTACCCACAGTTGCCATTACGCTGAAACTGTAGTGTCGATGGTTGAAATTAGTTTGAACCGATATTATAAATGCGTAATTATGTGAAATTGTCTGTATATATGCCTCTTTGACTGGATTTTGGTGTTACATTATTCTCGTACAATCGAACCAATAAAACTGTGTTACTGGAGAATTGTATTGTGAACCTGATTGGGAAAGAGTATCCTATAGAGTTTCTTGTTCGTTCTTCTCCATAGGAATCATGAAACGAGCAAGTAGCTTCACTTTTAAATCTTTATTGTTGACGTTCAAAAGTGCCTTCCTGGTTTAATTGAAATAAATGATTTTAACTTTGATATATGTAATTTAGTCACTTCAAAACCAATGAAGGGGCCGGGATGATTATGGTCTGGACTAGTTTACCCGCGTACTTATGGTAAAAAGTAGCCTATGTTAGTAAGTACATAGGCTACTTTTTACCATAAGTACGCGGGTAAACCCGCCGACAAAACCTGGTATATAATAATTACTTAACTTGATAGTAAGCGGCTCGCGAATAAGTCCAATAGATCTAAAATATTTCTTTATTATATTTTGATTTGCTTGTGTTCGGTGCAAATATACTGCTTACATTCTTTCTTCCTTCCTTCTTTCTTATTTGCAATGCCGACGTTGGAGTTGAAGTGAGTTTTATTAACAGTTGCATTTTTTTCTGTCTGCGTATGTGCATATTACGAATGCAGTTGTTTTATTTCAATTCCCATTTTGTTTCGTTCATAACCCAAGATTTAATCAAAGAGTGATTCACGAAT